CTGGCTCTCTACAAAGGAGACTGTGAATCTCCCGTGGTTCGGATGACCACGTAAAATGGCGGTACCGTCTCCAGAACTTCTAGCCAATGGGGACGTAAAAGAACCACTGAGGACGCAAAGGAACTCTGGCTGTGACCACCCTCAGTGCCATTCGGCTAAAAGGGTAACTACCTGGCTTACCACCTCACCAAGCTAGGTCACACCTCATGGCTAGCTATATCCCTGGACGTTAATTCCTTACGGAATGTCCCTGCGTTATAATCCACGTAACCGTGGGCTACGCAGTAAACTATCCAGATCCAGTACGGTGTACCGTAGTAATACACCCAAATTGACAGTTCTGCACCTATGTTCTGCGCCGCTAGTTTCGCATCTCCGCGAGAGCCCGGATGTGCGGGTAAACTCCGCCATGTTGTTTATCTCGATGCGTTATCTGCCTTGCATACGCAGGTCACTCACCTTTGTGTCGAAGAACAGTGCATGTAGCAGAGAATACAGCACCGATAATGGATGACCTGAGTGACATGACACTTGATACATTTAAATTATAGTCAATGCATGCTGTAAAAGTCTTTCTTAAGCCAATACGATCCGTTTGAGCAGCCCTTCACACTACACGTTAACGCCATTGTTCGCGCATTTTACTCGCGCTTTCTGGAACGGAAACTCCTCCCAACCTTTGACCTTAGGCTTAGGGCATGCGCAGTGTTAAACAGTCAACGGATGTATACTAATAGTAATACTAATAGTAATAGTAATAGTATTTCAGGTCTCATGGGAGAGATAGTGATCTGCTAGATGGCATATTATTAGTGTGTTGTGGATATAGAAATCGGTTAACCCTAACCCTAACCCTAATTCTAAAATAAAACAAAATTAGCCAAAAATAATAAAAATAAATAAGAGACAAAATTTGCCAATCAGAGCCGTCCCCTAGCGGATCACTATATCTCTCCCTTGTGCAAAATGTATTTCAATTTGGACACTCGCCCGAAACTGGATGCTCCTAAGTGCGCATGCGGGCAGGAGCCTCTTGTTTTGCAAGGGTGCATGCGCAGCATGCGCAGTATAGTCATCTGCGCATCTCGCCCATCGAAACGGTTGCAATAAACAAACATGGCGGCCAACCCGGTCACTCAAGTAAGACTGTTAAATGTGTGTCAGACAGTCAGGTTACAAAGCGAAACAAAAAGAAAACAAAAGAGCATAGCTACTATTTCCTACGGCCCTGCAAAACAAGATTCAAACAAAAATAAAACAAGAGAAAAACAAAAGAGCATGCGCACTTAGGAGCATCCAGTTTCGGGCGAGCATCCAAATACTACGATACAGGCCTACTAGTACTACTAGTAGTAGTACTTGTTATCTCCAGCGATAAATATTTGCGTTGGTTGCGGTGTTACACTAGGTGCTCCGCATTTTGCGTGATCCGCATTTTCTGGTAGCTCCAACTACCGGACCTACTAGTACTACTAGCTGGCGTCCTGAAAAATCCATTAATTAACCTATTTTTGTGTTTGCATAATGATGATAGCGATGTACCGTAGAGTTTGGACGCTCGTCCGAAACTGGACGCTCCTAAGTGCGCATGCGCGCAGGCGACTCTTGTTTTGCAAGGGCGCATGCTCAGCAAGGACAGCATGTGCAGTACTGCCAGTAGTAGTCATCTGCGCATCTCGCCCATCGATAACAGTCGCAATAAACAAACATGGCGGGTAACCCGGTCACTGATGGAAACATTTGATTGAAACAATTTGCAATATGTAGTAAGTTAGTAAGACTGTTATGTGTGTCAGGTTACAAGGCGAAACAAAAAGAAAACAAAAGAGCATGGCTATTGGCTACTATTTCCTACGGCCCTGCAAAACAAGATTCAAACAAGAGAAAAACAAAACAGCATCAGGCCCCTCCCTACGTTGCGCAAACCGGGTACGCCTGCCCCATTTGGGAAAACTCCCCCCCCCCCCGTTTCAATCGTTGCGCTACGTTTAAATTACCTCTGCCCCGATTAAATTCCACCACAATAAAAGTTTGACAGTGCGGTAATCGATTGTTTGTTGATGCCGCCATTTTGCGAGCAGTAACCAAAGCACACTTGTGTGCTTTGCTGTGATTAACTGGTCACCTTCACTGCTAAGCCAATCCGCAGAGAGCTCTTTTGAGCAGTTTACACATGCGCATAGTCAACTACATGAGGAACAGGCTGAGTGAGTCAGCTTTGGAGGCTGCTGCAATTGCCATAGCTGCTGCTACTGGCAATTGAGGGGCCACCTCGGCAAGAATTCCCATTCGACCAGGCCCCCGGACCCCCCTTAGTTTCCCCTCCCCCCTTCCTCCCGCTACCCTCCCCCCTTCCCCCTCCCCCAGTTTAAATTTCATCCTGGGGAGAACCCTGAGCATGCCTACGGCCCTGCAAAACAAGAGTCGCCTGCGCACATGCCCACTTAATTAGCAGCGTCCAGTTTTGGGTGAGCGTCCAAACTTTACGGGACAGCGAGGCTAACTAGTACTAGTAGTACTAAATGATACTATTCCTGCTAGTACTAAACTGTGCAGTAGACTAAAGCACTTTGTTTTGTAAGAAATTTATTCCCTTGCATTATGCAAGTTAAAGCGTTTCACTTTCACTTTCAGTAATAAAATGATGGTAAATACTAAATAAACACGAAATGTGGGGAATTCCTGTGGAAAACTCCTACTTTGCCAAATGTAAATGGCTATAGCAGGGTGCGAAATTAACGGGAGTCCAGAGTCAAATACTCCCTGATTTACTGTCGGACACCCTGATTTGACATATGCAGGAGTCCGTGTGACTCCCTGAAAATTCTGCCATCACTAACTAGTTCGTTCCAGAGCACAGCCTCGCGGAATTACCGTATTTTTCAGCTAATGTCCAAATAAAATTTGGCAGGCATGCAAACACATGCGTTATTGATAATATCTTTAATTTTGAACCTCAGACTGCGGACTCCCTCATTTTGCTGCGGACTCCCTCTTTTTGATGGTAGGGAGTTTGTTGGACTCCCGTGTTCAAAAGTTAATTTCTACCCCTGCTATAGTCTGTTCAACAGAAAAAGAACAAATAGGAGAAGATTATTCTGGCGAGTTTAGCATTCTGTGTATTTTTATTCATTTATTCGCACCATTGCTAACACATTATTTTTTTGCTGAAAATTTCTAAACAGCTAAATCCAATCTTTTTCAGATATAATACTTCACCATCTTCTAATTTTTGTAATTTAATACCCTAGATAATATCTAGCCATGTGGTCTTTTAAAACCCACCTATAGAAATTCCAAGCTAGATAAATAAAGATTTTTCCTCAGTAACCTAATTAAAACATACCAGACCCCCCCCCCCCCCCCCGGTCTGTGACAGTTGTTGTTGTAATGTTATTCTTTTCGTTACTGTATTTGTAGTTGTTGTTATTCTTTTTGTTGTAGCTGCTGATCCTGTTATATTGTTTTAACGTTGTTGTTGCCGTTGTTGTTGTTGTTATTGTTGTTGTAATTTAATTAAGATCCTTCACGAGCAAATGTTTCCTACAATGGTCACACACTATGTAAACATCGACCTTAGTAATGCACTTTGTGCTTTATGATGCAAATTTGGCAGATGAAGACAGCCAAATTTCCTGTTTCCCCCTGTTATGCTGAGACTACGTCAAATTTTCCAACGCACAGGACAATTATTTCCCGATCCCCGTGGCCGACGTTGCGGATGCTGGTGACGGAGCGGCAGCCGCCGGTAATGGAGGGGAAGGTGCTCAGGAAGGGATCGACGAGGAGAGTGAGGATGAGGAGGCTGAGTCGTCGCCGGCGGCGACGGTGAGCAACAGCCTCGACACGCGTCTGGAGCAGTTCCGGCTGCAGTGGCAACAGGAGCTGACGGCCGGCGGAGGCAGGCATGTAGCATTTCACCTGTTTCCCCGCAAAAAACGTCAAACTAAAATTCCAGAGGTAGAGACTCGCTGAAATTGGTTAAAGGGCCTCGTTGATAGCGAGTTACGTGTGTGAATGCACTTATTGCAGGCGGAGGCGGAAGTCATCAACGAGGCAGGAGCCTAATGAAGCAGAGCAAGCAGAAGAACTCTTTCAGCAGGGTGTGGATGCTGAGAAGTGTGGCAACCTCTATGAAGGTACAGTGTAACGCGATGGTTGGGGTCCATAAAATGCCATCGCAAAACAAGAGGGGTCACACTAAATCGGGGTTATATGTACGTGGCTATATAAGAGCAAAAGAAAGGGGGTCCAACGACTTATCGCGTTATATCCAAATTCGCGTTAAATCGGGGCGCGTAAAATCAGGGTTCCACTGTATATATCCACTATTGATTTAACCGTCTCAGCAAGGTAACCACTCACGCCCGAGTATGTTTGCGAGGTCGGTCAAGCTCACACAGTGTGTACCGTACGTGTTTTCTATGTATGAATGCGAAATTTTTGGCGTTGTGACACTTTGTTGCTAAGCACTGTTTTGTGAAAGATGCTATCGCAGCAATGATTGGCTAGAGCTTCTTGTCAATCACACAACATGGGATAGATCAATTGTATTTGTGAAAATTTTCTGCCTTTAAATGATTTAGATCTCGCAAACAGATTCAAATAGGTTCAATTACATGCATAAACACACCTAATTCTTCCTCTTTTTTAAGTATTTTTACCTGTTGCATTTCAGCGATCGGTTTCTATCGGCGCGCAATACAACTAGTGCCCGATATTGAGTTTCGGATTCAAGAAAGCTCCCAGAATAGGGGGAACCAGATTAGTGAGACCGACTATGAGAGCGAAGAGTGAGTTTGTAGTATACAGCTAGAAAAACATTTATGATTATGATTTGGGATGCAAAATATGAGGCTGCCGGTGGAGTATAGTGTGAGGCATGTGATGGCAGTTTATTTTAACGTCAGAAACGATTGACAGATTGAAATATTTGACATCTGTCAGGTGATCATGAATGATTTCCAATTTGCTAATCATTGCAGGGATTTGGACGTTCAGAATTAATATTATAACAATGTCAGACATTTATTGAAACTGTTAAAAAGTGGCGACATTGCCTTTTCTTATTATTCGGACACAGGGGAAGAACTTGTAATGGTTGCCCAAAATTAACACGCTATGCCCGTGGCATTAACGAAAATCCGAACAAGGGCTCCCGTTTGACAGTTGAAATCTTGAAAGAATACGTGGGATGCTACATGACGAGGTAGTGATGATTACGAGTGTTTCCGCAGGGATTCGGACACGATGACAGAGAGCGGAGAGTCGGACAGCGAGGATGAGGAGGCTGGAGATAACGACGCTGAACAAGATCCGAGCAAGGCCCTAGTGGCCAAGTTTAACATGCTGAAGCTTGAGCAGGGTGACGTCTCCAAGACCTGTCATCCTGAGTCAGAGCAGAAGGTAAATAGTGCAGTTGCTAGTTCAGAGGTTCGTATGAGCCCTGGAAAAATCTGGAAGGGCCTGGAATTTTAAAATACAATTTTCAAGCTCTGGAAAGTGCTGGAGAATAGGCTATGGTCCTTGGAAGGCCTGCAAAATTAGATTTCATTATGTTTGATCTTAGAAGGTTGCCCGAGAGGCAGTAAAGTTGCTTCATCCAAGACTTTATTCACTGATCACGGATTGGACAATACAAGGGCCAACGATTTCATTTTTGCTAAAATCTTACAGTCTTAGAAAGTTTTTCTTTCACAGTTTCTGCACATCTGCGATCTGGGCGAAGTTATAGAAACCAAAGCGATGTATCAACAGAGATCCTATGCTCCATGAATAGAGGCAAAACAAATTCACTTTGTTGCTTGTATCTTGGTGCAGTGTGTCCACATATCGGCACTGCCAGTCGAGGTCCTAGTCTACATCTTCAAGTGGGTCGTGTCATCTGAGCTGGACATGAGATCACTGGAGCAGCTTGCCGGAGTTAGCCGTGGTTTCTACGTCTGCGCCCGAGACCGAGAGATCTGGCGACTTGCCTGCGAGAAGTGAGCACTGCAGTCTCTAGTATTCCTTTTAGTTTGAGTTAAAATTAAAATGACATTTTATATTTATTAAATAGTTAATTAATCATTGAAATTTTATTTTCTTGATCTCGAGGCCATATTGAACAGGTGGCCGGTGTTCGTATGTAGTGCTTGTAAAGGCAAACGTTATGAAAGTATATAAATAGATAATAAAATAGAATAAAAACATCACATATATCTAGTATTTAATTCATAGATTTTAATAAATGTATTCGTAAGTTGTTGTTTTAAATGTGAAAAAATATGTGAATGGGAGACTATAACATAATGAATTTGCTTAAAGCCTCAATGCACCCTCAGCTACTCCAAACCATTTATCACAACTTACTTCAAGCAACGTTTGCAGTATCTTTAAGCAAAATAAAGCTTTAATCCTGCTGTGTTTTCACCTTGGTCAAAATTTACCCATTAAATTAGCGCTATGACCCTGGTTAGATAAAACTGAACTTTTAGGGTATCTTTGCACGAGTTAACAGTGGATGGCAACACTCATCGTCCTGCAGAATGCCTGTCATTCGTAGATGTCTTATTCGGGTTTTCACAAATATCTCGTTGTAGAGTGTTTGGAGTTACTTGTGGAAGCCCAACCACGTACGGCAGCTGGAGGAACATGTACATTCTACGTCCTCATGTCAGGTACAACGGTGAGTACAACACAACTCGCATCCCAGCCGAAGCTTCTGAATGAATATTATATAAATTCTACCGCTGCCCATACTCTCACTAATTTTACGGGCAAACAAAAGTCGTCGTTTACCCTTAGAGAACGTGCTGCCAGCCAAAATATGATTCTGCAGCGACGGGTTGTACAATTTGATATAATAGACAACGCTCAAGACATGTGTATGCATGTCTGTAATTACATGTACGTGTGTGCATGCGTGTACATATAGGCATTTGTATACATGCATATACCAGGGTTCATAGAAGTCCTGCATTCATAGAGTTGAAAATTGCCAAATTTCAGTTTGTGTAAATTATGTTTGATCGTAGGAATGGAGCACGTCTTTATTATATGAGAGACAATAAATTTCCCTTAATCTAAATGTTTGTTCACTAATCACTGATTGGGCGAGACAAGGTACAATTATTGTATTCAGCTAAAATCTTGCAGTCGTGTAAAATGGATCTTTAAAATCCTCGAAAACTGGAACGTTTCCTCAAACGTTTTGCCTCAGGTGTAAAAACCTTTTGGGTGGGTGCATCTACATTCATACATGTACAAAACCTGTGAATGCAGGCACGGCGACACATGCGTGAGTGTGTTGGTGCATTGCAGGCTGTTACATCAGCAAGACAACCTACGTCAGGCATGGTGAGCAGTCCCTCGACAACTTCTACCGACCTTGGCACACCGTCAACTACTACAGATACCTGCGTTTCTGGCCTGATGGTATGCATCACAGACGCTACATGTGTGTCGAAATACGTTCATCAACTGTCATGATAATAGTGCAAGTTGGTTGATATCGAGATAAGTTCAAGTATATTGACTTGCTTGAAACGGTTCGCCAATGTTCAATGTTCAATGATATTTATTTGGCTTGCCACCAGATTGCAGTATGTGACTACTGTAGTTATTTTCAGCTCTTGTCAGCTACTACTATCTGGTGGCAATCTCAAACTACTTTTTTCACCTGTGTTATGTACCTACATTTTTTACCTGTGTTATTTACCGATGTTATTTACGGGTATAATTCACCTGTGCTATTTACGTGCACAAATTAATGGCATTACTGCTTACAACGTTGCCTTTACTGCAATGATGCTAACGCGACGTGACGGTGTTATTTGCATGACCCGTATCATTTACATGTTGCCTACCTCCATTCTGATGGGGTTGTAAGCAGGTGTCATTCACCCCTGTCATTCAACCTGTATCATCTATGTGTTACCTACCTCCGTTCTGACGATGTCATTCACCCACCTACGTTCTGCACACGCTCGCAGGTACTGCGATGATGCTGACGATGTGTTACATGTTACAATGCTGACGATGTGTGACCTACGTCTTACCTACCTCCGTTCTACCAGTGTTATATGCACGTGTCGTTCAACCCGTATCATCTATGTCTTACCTACCTCCGTTCTACCAGTGTTATATGCACGTGTCGTCCAACCCGTATCATCTATGTCTTACCTACATCCGTTCTACCAGTGTTATATGCACGTGTCGTCCAACCCGTATCATCTATGTCTTACCTACCTCCGTTCTACCAGTGTTATATGCACGTGTCCTTCAACCCGTATCATCTATGTCTTACCTACCTCCGTTCTGACGGTGTCATTCACCCACCTACGTTCTGCACACGCTCGCAGGTACTGCGATGATGCTGACGACGCCTGACGACCCGCCGGCGACACTGCCCAAGCTGCGCACGCCGCGCGATGGCAAGACAACCGCGCTGATGGTCGGCCACTACCGCATGGTCGCCAACGCGATCACCGTCGTCGTGAAGAAGCACAAGGAGCGCGAGAGCAACTACTACAGCCGCTACCGCAAGCGGCACCAGCAGCAGCTGCAGGCCGAGTCCGAGCGAACCTTCCACATGGTGCGTTGTGCTACGCGCGCGAGCGATGAGTGAGGTGTCGCGTTGCTATGCGTCACGTGTAAACAAACGGCGGCCATATTGGTGGTTCATGCTATTCGAGAGGTGGAAACTCGTGTATGTTCGCGTACGAAATATTTCGCAAGAATTTGAATCGTTAATATAGTTATTTTTTGTGCATTTGTGTTATTGAATGATATAATTGTCCTAATATAGGATGTCACCGGAGCAATGATTTTTCCTTCGGACCAAAATGGACGCTGTTCCATACCTGTTCCGCCTTTCAGTCGCTGTTGCACATGCAGTGGTGATACATTATGGATAGGGAACCAGTCTAAACTGAATCGTGCTGTAAGCACTGCGATGTTCTGGCCAACAACAACAACGTCATGTCATGTTGTGATGATCTGTTACCAGGAATTTCAGTTGAAGAACATCGGGATGCGAACGCACTGTCAACTCGCCTGGCAATACTACTCCATCCACACGTTGAACAAGTGAGTTTTCTATGTCGCTCTATCTTTGATATGGAGTCGTAAGATGGAAGAATCGTTTACTTTCGTATTACCGTGAACCTACGTATGTGGAGTGAGCGCGCGACTGCCATACGCTAGTCGTTAATGAGAGTCGGCAACTCGTTACAATGACACTCGTTAATTGTTAACGAACCGTGGTCGTGCAGTCACAAACACGGCAGTGGATGCACATTCATTCAGTATACATAGGCTCACGCTATTATGTGTATACTTGCCGTGCATGCAATAGGGTACGGCGATTCCTTATTAGCATTGTTCTGTGATTGACATTCACATAAGCCATTGCCGATTGCTCCATGTTTCGTCTCATCGGCTCAGTAAAAGATGAGCAGCCATATTGAAGTCTTAGGTTATATTAAAATTTGTTTATTCATCGTGAATCGAAATCTTTTGGCCGATACATTAATCACCTGAAACGGTATATTCGTGAACATTTATTCAGAGTGAAAAGTTTCCCAAGACAGTGTATAAAATGTGAACCTTACTCCATTTGACTTTCATTCCCTACATAAGTAAGGCAGATATGCTCATCTTACATGTTGTAACCTTATTTTTTGCAATGAATTAGATTAATTAGCAAATATGGCACCATTTTTTAGCCGATATTTCTGTTATTTTTCGTCTCTAGATGCATTTGCGTTCTTATTTTCAAATAGTAATAAGAAGAATTACCAAATGCTTATACACCTCGAAATAACCTACGCCTTAACATCGTCAAGATGAGCTATTGACATAGGGTGTCGTCCGTCATACGTCCATCCGTCCGTCAACATTTGGCTATGGTCAACGATAACTCAAGAACCGTTTGACCCACATGTTTCAAATTGCATATAGTTGTTATTCCTATGGGAGAGGGTTGAACGTCCTATTTTGGAGCACGCCAGTCGACCTACATTCGACCCACGTCCACTTTTTGGCAAAAATGGAAATTGCCATAAGTCAGTTCAGGTTCAATGGATTTTGCTCATTTCTTGTATGTGAATGAATGAGGACTGGCCCCAAAACATATCACACAAGTTTTGTTTTGTTTTTTAAATTATGCAAATTAGGTAGATTTTGGCAATTTCATTATGCATTTCAGTGTCTGCCTACGGTCAACGATAACTCAAGAACCGTTTGCCCCACATGTTTCAAATTGCATGCAGTTGTTACTCCTATGGGAGAGATTTGAACGTCCTATTTTGGAGCACGCCAGTCGACCTACTTTCGAGCCACGCTCATTTCTAGTATGTCAATGAATAAGGACTGGCCCCAAAACATATCACACGGGTTTTGATATTTTTTTTAAATTAGGTAGATTTTGGCAATTTCACCATATGCATTTCAGTGTCTGCCTATGGTCAACAATAACTCAAGAACCGTTTGACCCACATGTTTCAAATTGAATATAGTTGTTACTCCTATGGGAGAGATTTGAACTTCCTATTTTGGAGCACGCCAGTCGACCTACTTTCGAGCCACGCCTACTTTTTGGCAAAAATGAAAATGGCCAACTAAATTCATTCGATTTTGTTAAATTTTCGTATGTGAATGTGTAAGGCTAGCCCCAAAACAGTTGTTACTCCTATGGGAGAGATGACAACGTCCTATTACGTTTATTTCTTCTAACTGGTCAACAACTCTACAATCATACCTATATACGTGTAATGTAACGTTGAATTAATGTTCGATGTAGAAATGATGAAGAAGAAATCCAAACTTGTGTAGTAACCTGAATAAACTTTAATATATGCTCGCACACAATGTGTCCATCTTGCACAAAGAGACAAATAAACGCGCACACACGCGTAAGCGCGTGTGCTTACTCTCCCGACCACCACCAGACTACTTCACTCCTACATCTCTGTCCTTCTCAAAACCCCCGCCATGTCTACACAAGATCTGCACCCCTATTTCACAATGACTCGAGAATCTGCCTAACCTAAAACACGTTTATCCAATTCCCTGTAACATCAATGTGGCCACACAAAATGCGCGATGCTGTGTCTAGATAGACTATTACTAAAAGAACCCCTAGTCTAACTCCACTGACTACTCTATGTAAACATCTGTAAGACATATGTTACAGTAATATTGTGTTTTAGATTCTTCGTTACAGTATGAGTAATTTGACTGGAATATTTTATTGTTTTAATTTACGCGATATTCGAAAACCAAAATGGCCATAATTTAGGCGTAGCACCATCTCTCGTCAAGATTTCAGACTTTCAGATCTGAAACATTTTTTTTCGCATCAAAACTTATGCATGTATCATTATCAAGAGTATATAATGGGAGATATGCTATATAATGGGAGTTCTGCCATATATACTCTTGCTTTATATATCCCCCTCCCTCTTCTATCACACCCAAGGTGAGCTACAGTGTCATTGACACTTTCATTTGTGAATAATCTTAGGCTCCTTTAGGAGTAAAAAGGTTCAGTAGTCTACGCAACTATTACATGGTAAAAATATTCATATCAAATTTTCTGCCAATCATTCCGATAATATTTAATTCTCTGTACCCTTAGGAACAGCCAGGACAGCATCAGTGAGTTTGAGCTGAATGGTAAGAGCTATCCTCCGTTCCACTTCTCGCGAGTGAAGAGTTACACATCCAGCTCACAGAATCCTCTCCAATAAGAGATGCTGCAAGGGCAAACTGTATCTAATGGATAAAAGGAGAGTGAGTTCGTGGCTACGTACAAGGCGAGAGAACACGAACATGAAACAAAGGTTCCGTTGAACCTGTGTTAGTGGACACCTGTCTATAAACGATATATTGGGGTTTTTCTTGAGTTATCCCTTATATATAAGTTTGACTGGATGAATGTATGTAAGACATACGTGTTCATACATTCTGCTGGTGCAATCAGGTTGTTATATCCTAATTATGCTTGGTGGCATTGCTTTACCCTTACATTTGACACTTGATTTTGGTAATTATACATGAAGCCATTATAAATTGGTGCCGCGAATAACATCGTAGATCTCATGTGTGAACATGCAACAACAACGAGTAATGACAAGCACAAAAAGTAACAAAAAACACTGAAAACAACAGTGACATAAGTAACACACTATTCATATCCCAGCGTCCTTTCTCTATAATCTAGTTGCTGCTAGATTGAAATTATTCGTTATACGTTCTTTACGTGTTTTAGTTTCTTTACGGTGTTTATAGTTTTTGTGAGACAACTCCCTTGTAGGTGTTTTATACGTGTTGTATGATTTGGTGATGCAGCAGTTAAAGTATCGCGCCAATCGATCACAAGATGCAAGCACTTGTACGTGTGTTTTAAGAACTAGTGTATTGTCGTGCAAACTTGTGTGACTGTGTGTGTGTGTGTGTGTGTGCGTGCGTGCGTGCGTGCGTGCGTGCGTGCGTGCGTGCGTGTGTGTGCGTGCGTGCGTGCGTGCGTGCGTGCGTAGGTATGTACAAGCTTGTTTTAGGTTCGTTTCACGAGCTGTTTGCGTTGCATAAAATATGACTTCAGGACTAGACGGATTCTTGTGTTTTTTTATGTATGTCTAATGCGCGCCCACAGTTAATACTAATGTACAACTACAGTACATTTATTGGCGTATACCCCTTTGCTAATGTGAAACGTACCAATTCTATTTGGAATGTCAAGATATCACCATGAGTGAGCATATCTGTCTATCTAGATGTCTATCTATCTATCTATCTATCTATCTATCTATCTATCTATCTATCTATCTATCTATCTATCTGCCTACCTACTTACCTACCAACTTACCTACCTACCTACCTATCTATATCTATATCTATATCTATATCTATCTATCTATCTATCTATCTATCTATCTATCTATCTATCTATCTATCCATCCATCTCTGTGCGTATGTGTGTGCGTGCGTATATATATTTACGGAGAGAGAGAGAGAGAGAGAGAGATCATGGTATTAAAAAGATGGTAGTATGTGTGGTTAAGGTAATGTGAGTAACTGTTTCGTGAACCATCCCTGTGCTCTTACCATAAACGTAATACACTGTGTAGGCCATCTATACATTTATTTGGTGCTTAGGGAGAGTAAACGGTCACTTTCCCTGTGTGTCATTCACCGGCATTTCGATGAAGATGGTTGCGATATTTGCAATGTCATTAGCCTCTCTCAGTGCTGTTATGTAGGATTTGTATTCGCTGTAACTACGATGGCATTCGTTGAGGCATACTATATTCTTATATGCAGCCACGCTGTAAAGATGTGAAATCATGCAACAAATTCAAAAGCAAATACTGAGTTGAATCAGGATGGGGTTACAAGAGTTTACAACTAGTTGACACTTGCTAGTTTTAGGCCTTGGTTGGCTGCGAATGGTTTGAGACAGGCATCTGCTGGTCATGGCTGGGTTCAGATACGCCTCTCTGATCATGTCTGTAGCAGTGACTGGCTGTGACTGTTTTGAGACAGCTTCACCGTGAATATATCTATACACGTAGATACTATGATACATACTGACATATACGTGTGTGCGCGCGTGTGCGTGCGTGTGCGCGCTGGCGTGCGTGTGTGTGCACGCCGTTGTGTGTGTGCACGCCGTTATGTGTGAGTGTATATCATGGTGTCTATGTTTACTGGATATATATATATATATATATATATATATATATATTCGTGATACCATCTATAGCTATATTCTTGGTAACACTCATCACGACTGGTTTGAGATCTCAATGAGTCTCAATGGTTGCATCTGACGTTACAACATTTATGTGAGAAATGCTGATTAGGGACTGTCAATTAACTCATCTGCCTGGTGTGATTAATAGGCAGCTCTAATCAATCAGCTTTGCGATGTGACGTTATAAAGATAATACTTAGTAGTGGAATGCCACAAAGGCGACATTTTAGCGTGCACCCACACGGAGACTCGTATAAACGGTGTAGCGTAATTGACCTGTATTAGTGTGTACTGGTTATTGCTGGTTTGAGATGGTTTAATCGGTTGGCTACTAGTGTCAAGTATATTTCACCATATGTATGTGTGTGCGTGCGTGCGTGCGTGCGTGCGTGCGTGCGTGCGTGCGTGTGTACTTGTAAGTAGGTTACAGGCAAACGTTACCTTGAGATGGAAATGTTTTTATTCAGAAAGTTATTATTAAATTTTAATCTTGTAAAAATAAAATGTAAAATGATCGAAAGGTTTGTTGGTACTTTTTGTGGGGTTTGTTGGTATGTTTAGCATATCTGTCACATTCAGATACAGCTTGTACAATAATAGCATGAGCGTCCGTCTTTTCGTTGTCAACGGATATATATATATATATATATAGACACAAATATAAACGTCGACGTACGATGTTGAAATTCAAGGTGTAAAGGATGACACTCCAAAATGGCATTGAAAGGTCGAACCTGATTTCAGGGTGTTCAAAAGTCATGAGGCGTGAATGAAGAGGGAAGCGTCTCCCATTTACGGAAGCTATAGGTAGGTAGTACCGGCATTGAGGAAACGCAGAATTGTGGTGCATAATGTGAACGGCTTGATCTATGCTTTTGATGTTCGGTATACAGATTCGGTGTGACAGAATTCATCATGATGGCGTAATTGGAGCTAACACGTCAAAGGTTAGTGGGGCGAAGGACAGATTTCAGATATTTTTGGAAGACATGGTCTGACCGGCCAATAGGAGATTTTTTTGTTTTGGTGGTGACGTACCGTTTTCATCACTTCACTGAAATTACCATTAAATTTAATTTCCACTCGTGTGCAAAGAGTCGCTGTGCGGTGACCTTTTGACCCTGAAAATTGTTAACCACCGATTATACGGCATATATTATATCATATATATATTTACATATGTAATAAAGTACAATAAATCTGCATTTCAATGCCTCACATTAATTCAAAGGCGCCCTGCCCTGGCTTCGCAACATCTCAATTACCCGTAATAGGCCATGGGCCAACAGTGATTATTGTTCACTTTGGTTTGACACCTCACGTAACCAAGTTAAATACATTATCCTAATTATAAATCACCAAGGTTCACCCAAAAATTCTTGTACATTAGTTTGTAATAGGCTTTTGATAAGTGGAATTTTAACCCCTTTCCGAAACTGTCAAGTTCTTCCAATAGGTGGCTCTATTCGAAGCTTGAACCAATATAACTGGAAATAAGATTATGTACATGTTTATATTATGCTGTTTGTCGGCCTTAGCCTTGTGCATGAAAAATAGCGTATGACACAAAACGAAATATATAGGCCTAGCATTTTGTTTTAAGTATTCATTTTATCCAGAGGGCGCATAATGTCGAATAATTCGATATGAAACATAACAGTACTGATGCTTCACTAATGACAAGTGTTCGCTTTTCCTAAATTCTTTGCAACGTGGCATAGCTTATAGCGACAGAAATCTGTACGCGCATGCCTTATATCTGCTAAAGACAAAAATTAAAGCGAAATCGTATAACAATGTAATAATAAAAGCAAAATATATAGTATTTTATTGGAATCATGTATTTCAACTAGAGAGCACATGCTCTCAAGTGATTTTCTGTCAAAAATTACATTATTAATACTCCACTTCAACTACTATCAATAACAACTGCACAGTGTTCCTTGCAACGAGGCATAGCCGAGAGCGTCAGATCCCTGTACGCGTATAGGCCCTACTTGATGTTTTTTGAAATTTTCAATTATATCTTTTGAGAATTGTATACGTTTAAAATAGAGAGCACAGACTTTCCTGACATTTTGTGCGATAAATCTCTATTCCTATACCTTACACTATAATAATTCAAAGACGCCCTCGCTTCACGATATCTCAATTCCCCGCAATTAAAAATGAAATCTTATGTACATATTTATATGCCGTTGTCCGTTGCTAGCATCGTGCATAAAAAATAATTAATGACAGCAAACGAAACATTACTCAATTTTCATTCACGAAAAACTTCTGATCTGATATTTCGAGGCATATATATATGATATCAGTGGCGTAGCCAGCAATTTGAAACAGGGGGGGCCAAGGCGAGGGAGCGAAGCGACCGAGGGTGTAGGGTGTGGGAGGGGTATCCCCCCTCCCACGGTAGGGAGATTTTTGAAAATTCGTGCATGAAAATGGCATTTTCTGCACACTAAAATTTAGTATTAGGGGTAACTTATATGAGAATTGGCATATGGTAATCCCCTATAACCCCCCTTCCTCGCTTTTTATTTTTTCCACTCCGATCCGATCAACGTGGGACGATGGCACCTGGCTGTGGTGCCGGAAGGCTCTGAGGTTACACACGACCAGTTGGTGGACCCTTAGCTACATAGACAGTGGAAAAATGGCTGCTACGATGCCAGTGTTTTTTTCAGGAGGGTAAGAAATGAGTGAAGCGACCAATAGACAGTGAATGTGAAGCTATTCTCAACGGCGGAGGGGTTTTTCCCGTCCCCGGTAGAGGTAATTTTTGAAAATATGTGCATCTCTCAAATGGTAATTTTTTTGTCGCATTTCATTCTTCATTATTAGGGTAGGTAATATGTAGTATGACCCAATCCCATTCAGGCCCTTCTCTCTTAATTTTTGTTCTCTCGATCAAGAGGGAGTCATCGGCGCGTCCTTCGTGTCCCCCCCCCCTCCCCCTTAGCTACGCCTCATGTTCCTCTTCAGCACCCTGATTCGGAATATTGGAATTAGTTTTGATTTGTGTTTCTGTTAGCAGTTACCATGCAATGTTGCGATTCTATCCGTCATCAAACTGTTTCAAGTTCCTCATATCAAAAAGTTAAAAGTTAAATTATTTTTAGAAAAAGTAGAGGGCATATTGAATGATATCGAAATTAAAGCTATCTATGGGAAAACAGGTTAGATGTGTTGGTAATCTGCACTGATTAAACATGCAATTTATTTAAATTACAAAAGATTTACGCATCGTTTAGAATCACCAAGCGTTAAAGAGTCACATTTAACATTTTGTTCGTCCTATAAAAATGTTTTTGCTTTTCCTTCTGATGAAGAACTAAATATCATATTGAAATTTGAATTTCAAATAAAAACAAAAGGTGGCTGCCAATAATAGTTCGTCGCCTCTATTAGGAATGATAAAAACGAAATTTTTTACTACATGAATAAGAATTCGTTTTTTGCCTCCTTCTGATTAGAGAACAGTTATCTTTAACTAAGTGTTAGAAAATCGGTATTTTGATAATAATAAACGACGGTGTGAGCCAAATGCGCCGTCTATACTGTTGCGAATATATCAAGTTATTCACAAAGCATTTCCCATTGTCTTTTTCTTCCTGTTCCATATTTAAGAGTTCAAACCATAAAATTTACAATCAAAGTCAGCTTGCAAACAACACAATCATCTGACGCAAAGAAGAATTTGTTGCTGTTCTATTTTAGATCATGTGTTTTGTCCTTGCTGCAGAAATCTCACAAATTCCAAAGTTCAAGTCTTCTCGTCGAGTTGTTTGCGACAGACATTTGAAGATGTTCGTGTGACTATTAAGTGTCATATCACTACTCGCTGTTCAACGAAAAAGTGAGAATGAAGAGCAGAGAATCTGTGCGCTGGGTCATTTGTAGAACGAGAGTTTAGACTTGATCAATGCTCCATATTTTAGAGAATGTCTCGTGTTCCAGCATGATGCAGAAGTAACACAGGAGATTGTGGCCAAGTCCTGTGAGACACGTCAAGAGTGTGAAACACGTTTTTCTTTTTTTGCTGCCCAATTCAACTCAGCGGGGGGCCATGGCCGGCCCCCTCTGTGCCCCCCTTAGGAACTACTGCCATGTATAGATATCAATATTTTTCAGGTTTGGCCCAAAACCCAGGTCCCAATCCCGCGTCTTCAAATAATAACCTGTTTCTTACTAATCATAACCATAGGCGAATAGCCTTCATAAAGATGTAAACACATACGATATAGGCCCCTACCTCAATTTTACGTTTGCGGCGTAGATGATAAATATATTTTTGAAGATATTCTTGTTAGGAATACTTATTTGCATCAATAACTGCTTTTTTGATCGTGACCATATCTCTGTAGCGTCCGCTAGGGGGCGTCACCGTAGGTAATTTATACTTCACGTGCTTCAGCATGGCACACTCACGCGCACACAAACACACACGACACACGACACATCACCACACGCTACGCGCACGGCACGCACAGCACGCACGCCACGCCACGACACGCACACACATACACGCACCGCACACGCACACACACTACACACACACACACCACAACACACACACACACCACCACACACACACACACACACACAGATCACACACGCACGCACGCCACGCACACACACACACACACACACACTTCATCGCGCACACACACACACACACACGATCGACACACATCACAACACACAACAACATCACACACACACACACACACACACACACACACACACACACACACACACACACACACACACACACACACCAGAAGAGCATCAGATGTAAATTAACATCGTAATTAATGTTCATCACATTAATCGCATTTAGTCGCACTGTCGACAGCGATAGCATTATCCCGTGGTCCGCTGTCAGAAACATCATACAGGTATAATACGCCTATGATGTGTTATAACCAGAGAAATATTATACTATTGTCTCTATATGTTGCTATGGTTATAACACTTCATATGCAAAAATCATGGTATCCTACACTTATTTTGTCATAATTAATTTGGCAGGGCCAAAATTCCCGTATAGCACGCATCGATTGCCTACTTCATCATTACACAATCTGTTGTGAAATAGTCATCACATTTGGTTTCTCAGTTCTTCGGGGTGGTGGGTAAAGCAAAGTAGAAATCATTTCTGGGAAGAAATGGTGGCCCTGAAAAGGGCCGGTTGGTTTCACTGGTACATGCGCAGTGTTTAAGCGCGTTCGCCACGGATACGGCGAGCGAGCTGGATGTCCTTGGGCATTATCGTGACTCTCTTGGCGTGAATGGCGCACAGGTTGGTATCTTCGAAAGGACCAACGAGGTAATCCTCGCTAGTCTCCTGAAGAGCCATCACGGCGGAGCTTTGGAAGCGCAGGTCAGTCTTGAAGTCTTGCGCGATCTCACGGACCAGGCCTTGGAAGGGCAGCTTGCGGATGAGCAGCTCGGTGCTCTTTTGGTAACGACAGATCTCTCTCACTCTTGGCGGCTAAATCAGCGATCTGATTATACCAGCTGATAAACCACACCGGCCCTTTTCAGGGCCACCATTTCTTCCCAGAAATGATTTCTACGTTGCTATATTAACTGCCTTATTAATATGGGATTCTTATACACGATTGAATCTAAGCAATGACGCATCAATTGTAAATCTTGTAACTCCCGTTTACGGGTGTCGTATGCGAATGTGGAGAAATGTATATCATCACTCTTCAACTGCCCATGACCGATTGCCTTCGTGGTTTTAGATATGATCTTTTAATATACGAATCTATCGTAATTTTTACAGACACGAACGATAACAATATATGTTTGCAGTTGCATTAAAACAATTTGCAGGACACGTTATTTCAGATAATAATGGATATGCTACAGCGATGAGCCAAATGTTTGTCATTATGTAGTCTATTAGGACTCACATATGTTTTGGTAAAGCTCAGCAAATTATAATCTACGAACAAGCAATTAAAACTTTCGTTCACTAACACTTGGTGGATTCGGTTTGTTTTGTCTATGAGACGGAAAGCCTGGGCACATTGCTATTCGATCTGTGTTTACACGCAAGTTTTCCCGCCCTTTCCACTGCACTGTCCATTAATTGCTCATACCCGCCGTATCGTGGGTTATCAGACATCGCCATCTGTTGGGCGGCTACCGTGTAGGCCATGCTACCCAAGCTATATTTGGAAACCAAAGTACAGTTCATTAAATTACACTCATTGACAGTCGCGTTCAGGAATGATGTATTCGTCTCTAGCTTGATTTAGCTGCGCCATATAGTAGGAAACCAGTTAAAACTAATCATATACATGCGAGAACGGACACACATTATAAGCAGTACGATGGGACAAATCAGCTCTCCGGGAACACCTTTGAGCATTTGCTTTCAAATTTATGAGGATGTGTCAGCGTATATTTATTATATTTTTTTAAGCAATTGTCCAATTAAGTTTAAATTCAAGAATTTAGTTACCAAGGATATACAGAGAGAAAATTAAGTCAAAGGCACACTGATTTACATTTTGGTTCCATACTTTTGATCATAACATTAACACATCAACTGTTTTGGCGACATAGTGCACACATTAGTTACCAATTAGAATTGAGACTTATGGTCTGACAATGGTCTGACTTACTCGGTGCAATAAATAGATGCTATAGTGTTGGAATAATTGGAGTTAATGGAATAGTTAAATCCCCGAAAGTGACCAGAAGGGCATAGGGAATGAGTGATGTCAGGGACGTAAAAGTCCGAAATCCTAAAGCTATGGTCATTGCGAATGGCGAGGGCCGTTTGAATGTAAAACGGTGATTCAATAGATTTAGGCTATCTCGGAAGTAGCATTTGTTTAAATGCAATAATAAACGATATTGCATGACGACTTAAGATTTAAGAATATTTGAAAATGTAGAGTTTATTTCTGTGAAGAAATGGTGGCCCTGTCAGGGCCGGTTGGTTTACTGATATGGCGGTTGACTCTACTTAAAGCTGGTGTATGTACTTCGTGACAAGCTTGGTGCCCTCAGATACTGCGTGCTTGGCCTAAAAGCATTATTCTCAGTGAATGTATAGGTTTATATGCTTTACTTGAGCAATCGACAAAGTATAGAATGCAAAATATCATTTAATAGAACTGTTTTTGGCGAGACATTGCCAATATGTAATACTAAATATAAGAGAAATGTCAGCAATGATATTACGGAGTGTTATGGATATAGAATTACGTTCTCTCTCCATCATGAAACAAAATATCTAAAAATCGTAGTGATATATCCGACAGAGAGAGGTATAAGAATAAGCGCAGTGAGAGATATACGAAATACAAAATTCATGTTCAGTGTGAGTGACGGGAACCCTTTGAATCTAAACCACAAGTTTAATGGATTAAGGCAATCTCAGAAGTAGCAGACGATGCGTACTTAAATGATAATAACTTTGTACTTGTATGATAATACCAATACAATGATATAAATACAATAACAGAATGCAGGTATAGACGCAGCCATTGGATTGGTTGGCGGTCATCGGGTTTATTATCGTAATACCATTTATAATGGGAGCAGGTTTGCAAATGTAGTAATCAATTCTGGGAAGAAATGGTGGCCCTGAAAAGGGCCGGTTGGTTAACTGGTACGGCGGTTGACTCTACTTGGAGTAGTTACTTTGTGACAGCCTTGGTGCCCTCAGATACTGCGTGCTTGGCCAGCTCTCCCGGAAGGATGAGACGGACAGCAGTCTGGATCTCCCTGCTCGAGATAGTTGAGCGCTTGTTGTAGTGCGCCAGACGAGAAGACTCGCCGGCGATACGCTCGAAGATGTCGTTGACGAAGCTGTTCATGATGCCCATCGCCTTGCTAGAGATGCCGGTGTCTGGGTGAACCTGCTTCAGCACCTTGTAGATGTAGATGCTGTAGCTCTCCTTTCTCTTCTTCCTCCTCTTCTTGCCATCGGTAGGCCTCTTCTGAGCCTTCCCGGCCTTCTTCACGGCTTTTCCACTTGGCTTTGGCGGCATGGTGTACGATACGTGTTGTATCAAAATCAGTCAGTGAATGTGTAAGAGCGGTAGACGCTCGGCCCTATTTATAGGAGCAGGGCGGATTGTGAAGAGGAACCTGACATTTTCAAACCCCATTATGTCCATTATCCGTGTCAATCGAAGCGAGAAGCAGCGGAAACCAGATACTCGGCACACCTGTTTAGCCAGTTAGAAACTTATTCGCGCCAGTACAAACATCTCGCGCTTGCCTATTGGTGGGAGTGAAGGTCGGTACAATCCTCATTAGATGTATAAATAGGGCCTTGTGAAGTTTAGGGATACAGTGTCGTCCGTTTTAGTCGCCGTATACATTCTGTCATCAATATGTCTGGTCGTGGTAAGGGAGGAAAGGTGAGAGCAAAGGGAAAGAGCAGAAGCAGTCGCGCTGGACTGCAGTTCCCTGTTGGACGTATCCATCGTCATCTTCGTAAGGGCAACTATGCCGAGAGGGTTGGCGCTGGCGCTCCCGTCTACCTGGCTGCCGTCGTTGAGTACCTGACCGCCGAGGTGCTCGAGTTGGCCGGTAACGCTGCTCGCGACAACAAGAAGTCAAGAATTATCCCACGTCATCTGCAGCTGGCCATCCGCAACGACGAGGAGTTGAACAAGCTGCTCTCCGGAGTCACCATCAGCCAGGGAGGTGTCCTGCCCAACATCCAGGCTGTCCTGCTGCCAAAGAAGACTGCCAAGGCCCATTAAATGGGAATCGACGCCTGTACCAGTGAAACCAACCGGCCCTTTTCAGGGCCACCATTTCTTCCCAGAAATGATTTACTACATTTTGCAATCTAGTAAGAGAATGGTATGTTGTATTATCAACGGGCCGTTTCAAGACTACGAATTTTATGACTTTTGTTGCCAATGTTTTGCTAAATTTATCATATCTGGTTACTCTTTCTTGCACAATCATTTCAAATACCTTTCATATTGATCATACATTAACCAATCATTTGAACGGCCCAAGTGCATGCGACATGGGCTACTACTACAAGTTATGCTGACACCATAAATCATTGCACGCTATATTATGACACTCCTGACGCTATGGATGCACAAGCAGTTCTATGAATTGGAAATGGAAAAAACTGGAACGCATGCCTATGCTGCTATGCGCATATAACCTTGGAGTAATCATTCAGAATGATTACTCCAAGATGTAACCTAGCCGAAATTTTAAACGCCGTTTGCAATAATAGTTTATGTGCCAATAGTGGTTTCTAGTTATCAGGGGCATAGTCCAATAGTATGTACGCACATCATAACCTCATCAATTTAGTCTTCAAAAGTCCTGGGGACTATAACGAAGACGGAGAGAGAAGTGGATCAAATCGATAGATCCACACTGCGGATCGCAGTGGAATAGGTTGCAAGTTTGCAATTTACCAAGGATGAAGGCAGGGAATTCCAATACGGAATCACAGAAACAAAGAAGCTAAAGTTAAAAAGATCCTTAGAAGTGTGCACGTGCCGAAAACAGTGATCACGCTCAGATGATCGAGTGCAGCGAACAGGCTTCATTAAGCAAGAGGGAATGCCAATTTTCATCTCATCATGATAAATTTTATAGAAAGATATAGGTTTAGAATGAAGAAAGCGGACACGAACGCACACAGCAATTGTATATCCGTGTCACACTCTGATGGTGTAGTAAGTAATCCTATCATTGATGTATATATCGCTATGGTAAAATCTTCGCAGCCAGAAATAGCAGCTGAACATTATATAACACATATACCTTGATAATATTTTGGCGGCTAGGGATATTATAGAGATAATATAATTATAGAGATTAATACGGGGCTATAATTGCATATCGATAATATTTTATATTGTGTTCCTTGTTGCGCGCACGTGCATGTGCGTGTGTGTGGTGTGCGTGTTGTACTCAAACTTGGAATCGTGCACAATCTTACAACTTGGATCTTGCAAGATCGTGCTGCCCAAACTGCGGATTTCCCATTTTGGCTGACCAATCTCAATATTGGGCACGCTGAAAACAGTCGCTTATTCAACTATACTTAATGGCGATTGTGGCGTATGTAAGCATAACTAGTGCAAACTAGGAAGGGATTTCTGTAATAGTTATCAAATTATCTAATATAATCATTTATTATTTTAACAAAGATGTCAAACATATCGAGGAAAGCCGGTAAGAAGATATAGGAACTCTTTCTAATGATATGACTTTTGATACCCTACGAATTCTAAGTTTGTGCAACCCCTGTTCGCCTTGTCCAAACTAGGAATTTTTCCTATCAAATTATCTAATATAATCATTTATTATTTTAACAAAGATGTCAAACATATCGAGGAAAGCCGGTAAGAAGATATAGGATCTCTTTCTAATGATATGACCTTTGATACCTTACGAATTCCAAGTTTGTGCAACCCCTGCTCGCCTTGTCCAAACTAGGAATTTTTCCTAACAAATTATCTAAAATATCCATTTAATTTCTTAACCAAGATGTCAAACACAATCAAGAAATAAGATATAGAATCTCATGGTAATGACATAACATTTTATAGCCTATGAATTTAATAGTTAATAAAATATGTAACAGGTTTTGCCC